GAGGTTGAGGCTTCCTCTTGCTGAGCTCAGATTCCCCATCTTTAACATTGGGACAAGAATGGTCACAGCCCCCAGCTTCCGGAGATGATGGCAAGAGGTGGGTGGTGTGGTGAGCAACAGAGCAACTGGTGGGAAGCCAGCAGCGGTGGCACAGGGCAGAAGGTGAGCCTGGGCTTGGTGGAGGGAACATAGGTCAGGCCCAGGGAACCAGTGTGAACAGCACAGGTGAGAGGTGCAGGTGACCCAGACAGGCCGGAAGTCAGCCTTGACCACAGCCCCCAGACTGAAAGGCATCTTGGGGCTGACCCTGAGCCAAGGCCAGTCATGAGATTAGAACCCCAGTGGCAGGAGCCAGGTAAATGCCCTGCAGCTGGGTAGGAGGCTTGGCTGGAGCAGCGCTTGACCCCAGCATGGACCTCTAACTCCTTCCAGAAAAGTCTCACTGCTGGGAAACCACTGCGTCACTTTCCTCATGCTGACAACCTCTGTTAGTGTCTCCTTGCTTGGATTAGTATCGCCTTCTTAGGGATACTCTGGTGACAAAATCAGCACCAGCCACCTAATCCAGGCCCAGATCCCAACTTGCCACTCTTGGCTGTGGGACTTGGAGCAAGCTTCTTAACCTCTCTGAGCTCCAGGGTCTTTGACTATGGGATGATGAATTGTGTCCCCAAGTTTGTGGTGGGGTCAGGTGCCCAGTGTTCTAATGCCACTGGATCAGGCCCGGCAGGCAGTAAGCCTCAACCCGTGTTCCTCCTTCCTCAGGTCAATTCCTAAGAAGCAGGCAGGACTCTGAGAAGATGTGGTGCCAAGACCAGCTCAGTCGTGGAGACCCTAACCCAGCAGCGCTAGAGGAATTAAAGACTCACACACAGAAATATAGAGTGCAGAGTGGGAAATCAGGGTACTCGCAGCCTTCAGAGCTGAGAGCCACAAACAGAAATTTACCCACATATTTATTGACAGCAAGCCAGTGATAAGCATTGTTTCTCTAGATTATAGATTTACTAAAACAAAGGGATGGGCCGAAACAAAGGGATGGGCTGTGGCTGGTTATCTGCAGCAGGAACATGTCCTTAAGGCACAGATTGCTCATGCTATTGTTTGTGGTTCAGGAATGCCTTAAGCGGTTTTCTGCTCTGGGTGGGGCAGGTATTCCTTGCCCTCATTCCAGTAAACCAATAACCTTCAACATGGGCATTATGGCCATCACGAGTATCTCACAGTGCTGCAGAGATTTTTTGTTTATGGCCAGTTTGGGGGCCTGTTTATGGCCAGATTTGGGGGCCTATTCCCAACAATGTGGGGCTGAAGTCTGCTTTCCCTTCTCTGAGAAGAAGTTCTGTGAAGTCCAGAAAGCCAAAACCACCTCCTCATTCTGCCATTTTTCCAAAGGCTTCTGAAGGAACTGGATCATCTGTTTGGGGCTTTTAAAAGTTATTAGGGGCCAGGTGCAGTGGCTCACAACTGTAATCCTAGCACTTTGGGAGAACAAAGCTGGAGGACTGCTGAAGACCAGGAGTTTGAGACCAGCCTGGGTAACATAGTGAGACCTTGTCTCTACAGGAAGGAAGGAAGGAAGGAAGGAAGGAAGGAAGGAAGGAAGGAAGGAAGGAAAAAGGAAAGGAATAAAGAAAAAGACACACAGACAGAAAGGAAGGAAGGAAGGAAGAGAGAAAGAAAAAGAAAGGAAGGAAGGAGGGAGGGAGGGAGGGAAGGTAAGAAAGAAAGAAGGAAGGAAGGAAGGAAGGAACGAAGGAGGGAGGGAGGGAGGGAAGGTAAGAAAGAAAGAAGGAAGGAAGGAAGGAAGGAAAGAATGAAAGAAAGAAAGAAAGAAAGAAAAAGAAAGAAAGAAAGAAAGAAAGAAAGAAAGAAAGAAAGAAAGAAAGAAAGAAAGAAAGAAAGAAAGAAAGAAAGAAAGAAAGAAAGAGAAGCCAGGCATGGTGATGCACACCTGTAGTTCCAGCTACTCAGGAGGCTGAGGTGGGAGGACTGCTTCAGCCCAGCCCAGGAGGTCAGGGTTTCAGTGAGCTGTGATTGCGCCACTGCACCCTAGCCTGGGAGACAGAGCAAGATCCTGTCTCAAAAACAAAAACAAAGCAAAACAAACAAAACAACAAGAATGAAAATAACAGTTACTAGGCTCTGAGGAAGATTGCCTTTGGAGACTGAGTCACAGAGCTCGACCTCTTAATTACTGACCTTTTGTTATAAATTAATTTCCTTCCTTGTTCCTGGCTTAGACCAGATGTCCCTGAGATAGAAGACCCCTTGACTGAGATGAAAGACCCCTTGACTATTATATCCTTAATGTGGAATATCAAATATACATTTCCCAAAAAAGAAACACTGCCTATAAGCAATCAATTGCTGTAACTATGTGTGAAAAATGATGTAATCCTGTTTACATCCTTGCCTATATAAATGACCCTCAAATCTCTTCACTTCAGAGCAACTTGGACCCCATTTTTTTGGAGCTTATGCCCTCCTCAAACTTTGCACTCCAATAAACTCAGTATTTAATCATATTGCCTGAATCTCATCATTCACGTTGACAGGCTCAATGCAGAGGGGGCAGGGGATAGACAGTCGTTCCAGTAAAACCCTCTGCTTTCAAGCCTGCCACCCCCATCCCCAGCTGTGCCCAGCCCAGACTAGCCCATCTTCATCCCAATCCCAGCCCATTCTAATCCCAGCTCCCAGGCCCAGTTCTGTCCCCATTCCTAACCTAATTCTGGGGCAGTAGCCAGAGAACACAACAGGACACTCCTAATGGGGACAAAAGGCCTGGAAAGGGGTTGTTCAATTTTTTTTTTTTTTTTTTTTTTGAGAGAGAGTCTCACTTTGTCTCCCAGATTGGAGTACAGTGGTGAGATCTCGGCTCACTGCAACCTCTGTCTCCCAGGTTCAAGATATTCTCCTGTCTCAGCCACCCAAGTAGCTGTGACTACAGGCGCCCACCACCATGCCCAGCTAATTTTTTTTGTATTTTTAGTAGAGACAGGGTTTCACCATATTGGTCAGGCTGGCCTCGAACTCCTGATCTCAGGTGATCCACCTGCCTCGGCCTCCTAAAGTACTGGGATTACAGGCGTGAGCCACTGTGTCCAGCCGGGGTTGTTCAGTTAAAAGGAAGGGACACAGAAACCTCCACAGCTCCCCATCTCTAACAGGCCATCGGAGGGGCCCTTGCGGCCCCTGCACAGTCCTCCTTGCCCATGATGTTTCTCCTGAGCAGAACCCTCCAGAGGCCCACAGGGCCTTCCTGTGACCCACACCCCCGGTGCTGCACGCTGACATCTGACTGCAGCCAGGGGGAGGGCAGGAGTGGCAGCCTAGCCCCGCCTGGTATCATGATCCCTGTTTGTTTCCAGAAGGTGCAGCACGCAACTCCTGAAGGCAAGAGGCCCGCGAAGGCATTCAGGGCAACTTGAGAGACTGCTCCCACTGCTTGGCCAGGCTGTGGGGCTGAGGGCAGCGGTAGGGAATACTCACGAACCCAAGAAGTAGATCTGGGTTCAGACAAGAAAGGCCTGCTCAGGCTCCCTGGGGCCCAGCCAACCGGAACCACATCTGCACTCATGAACGGCCTCTTTATTTCTCAGCCAGGGCCTACCCAAGGCTGAGCCACCTCTCATCCACTCCTGCAAGCCCTCTGGCCCCCAGTGCACCAATGGATTTGAGGGGCTCCATGACTGGCTGGCCCTGTGCTGCAGGTTCAGTGGTATAGAGTGCTATCCCAGCCCCCAGAGCTGTGGCTGGGAGCCAGTCCCTGGGGAGCCAGGACTCTGTCACTATGACCTGATGTGATTCCACCAGGAAGCTGGGCTTCCCACCCCATGACAAGTTGATGCAGGCCTCACAGAACAGAAGAAGGGCCCTCCCTGTACTTGTGAATGTGCTCCTGAGGCTGGAAGGATGAGGTGGAGTAAAAGGCATGGGACCCTCACTCTGTGCTGAAGGGGCTGGGAGCTGAGATTGGTGCCCTGTCTTCCTGGGTTCAAATCCTGCTTCTGCTACTTCTTAGCTGTGCTGCCTCAGGCAAGTCACTTCATCTCTCTGGGGCTCAGTTTACACAGATATAAAAAATGAGGGCGGGCGTGGTGGCTCACGCCTGTAATTCTAGCACTTTGGGAGGCCGAGGCGGGCAGATCATGAGGTCAGGAGATCGAGACCATCCTGGCTAACACAGTGAAAACCCATCTCTACTAAAAATACAAAAAATTAGCCGGGTGTGGTGGCTGTAGTCCCAGCTACTCAGGAGGCTGAGGCAGGAGAATAGTGTGAACCCGGGAGGCAGAGTTTGCAGAGAGCCTAGATTGCGCCACTGCGCTCCAGCCCGGGTGACAGAGCGAGACTCCGTCTCAAAAAAAAAAAAAAAAAAAGAGGATAAGGCCAGGCAAGGTAGCTTTCGCCTGTAATCCCAGCACTTTGGGAGGCCGAGGTGGGAGGATTGCTTGAGCCCAGGAGTTCAAGGACGGCCTAGGCAACATAGCAAGACCCCTTCTCCCCCCGGCAAAAAAATGATAATAATAATAATAATAATTAGCTGGGTATGGTAGTGGCATGTGCCTGTGGTCCCTGCTCAGGAGACTGAGATGGGAGGATCATTGAGCCCAGGAAGTCAAGGCTGCAGTGAGCCATGATCACACCACTGTACACCAGCTAGAGCCACAGAGTAAGATCCTGTCTCAAAAAAAAAAAAAAAAAAAAAAAAAAAAAAGAGGGGGGCCAGGCGTGGTGGCTCACATCTGTAATCCCAGCACTTTGGGAGGCCAAGGTGGGTGGATTACCTGAGGTAGGAGTTCAAGACCAGCTTGGCCAACATGGCGAGTGCCCGTCTCTACTAAACATACAAAAATGAGCCGGGCATGGTGGCGCACGCCTGTAGTCCCAGCTACTCTGGAGGCTAAGGCAGGAGAATCACTTGAAGCCAGGAGGTAGAGTTGCAATGAGCTGAGATTATGCCACTGCACTCCAGCCTGGGTAACAGAGGGAGACTCTGTCTCAAAAAAAAAAGGGGGGGCCCTTTCCTGTTGGGGGGGCCCTTTCCTGTTAGGGGAGAGCTGTGCGAGGTGAAGGTCTTGGACGCAGTTTCTTGTTTTAATCATATAGACAAAACAGCCCTGCTGCAAAGATGGTCAATGTACCTAAAACCCGAAGCGCCTTCTGTAAAATGTGTGGTAAGCATCAGCCTCACAAAGTGACACAGTATAGGAAGGGCAAGGATTCCTTGTATGCCCAGGGAAAGAGGCGCTGTGATCGGAAGGAGAGTGGCTATGGTGGACAGACAAAGTCAATTTTCCAGAAGAAGGCTAAGACCACAAAGAAGATTGTGCTAAGGCTGGAATGTGTTGAGCCTACCTGCAGATCCAAGAGGATGCTGGCCATTAAGAGATGCTAGCATTTTGAACTGGAAGGAGATAAGAGAAAGGGCCAAGTGATCCAGTTCTAAACTTTGGGAAATTTTTCTTTTAATTTGAAGAGAAAATGTTGAAGCCATAGAAAAATTACCTGTAGGAAAATAAATACAGTGATATTCTTTTTAAAAAAAAATGAGGATAACCATTAACCACATCATGGGATAATCAGGCAGATCAACTGACTGTGAATATGAAGAACCCAGTGCAGAATGGGCACAGCAATGCCCAGTGCTTCTAGAGAAAGGAAGCCTAAGGGGTGGGGAAGGTTCCCAACTGGGCCGTGCAGCCTGGAGTACACATGTGTGTTGGGGACTATCTGGCCTGGAATAACCAAGAGAGCCCCCCAGAGTATAGGCCTGCCTGGGGCATTCACTGTCCCTCCCAGCCACCCCAAGCCTGAAGGCTTCACCCCTCCTACCCCTCCCCGTTGCCTTTCCAACCCTCCTACCCACCCCCAATGCCTGTGGACAAGTCTAGGGCTGTTGACTGGGATCCCAATGCCATGCCCCAAATGGAGACTTCCTGGCCCGGCAGGACTCACAGGAACTTAGAGGACCAAGGAGAAAAAACTGTTGCACTCATGCACACATGCACATGTGAGCACATGCGTGCACACACACAGAGGGACACAGAACCAGCCAGGCACACACATGCAACCATGGCCGGCAACCAACCTTCCTTCCTTTCCTCCCTCCCTCCCTCGCTCCCCACTTCCCTCCTTCCCTTCCTCTCTCCCTCCCCTTTCCTTGCTTTCTTCCTTCCCTCCCCTTCCCCTCCCTCCCTGTCCCCCCTTCCTTCCTTCCCTCCTTCCTCCTCCCTTTCTCCATCTCCCCCTCAGTCCCTCCTCCTACTTCCTTCCCCACCTTCTCTTCTACCCCTTCCCCCATCCCCACTCCCTTCCCTCAGACCACTCTGCCTGGCTTACTATGCCAGAGTGTGCATAACCTCTGTGGTACCCACAGGATACCTAGAAATGCCCCCAGCCTCTCCTTCTGGGTCCAGAATAAGCAGATGCCTTGGGGGTAGTATTGGGGTGGGGGTATTCAATCATCCCTGCTCCCCTCATAGCCTCCAGTCCTGTCTCTGGCACCCACTGCTTTGGGGTTTCTATTTATACCCAGTTCTTTCACCAGACTAGCAAAGGCAAGTTTGCATCCTGGTTGCACCCCAGCCTAACTCTGTGACCTCAGGCAAGTCATTGGACATGGCTGGCCCCAGTTTTCTCACCTCTAAAATGGGGCTGTCATGCCTTTTTTTTTTTCTTTAGAGACAGGGTCTCATTCTGTCACCCATGTTGGAGTATGGTGGTGCCATCATGGCTTACTGCAGCCTTGAACTCCTGGGCTCAAGTGATCCTCCCGCTTCAGCCTCTCAAGTAGCTGAAACTATAGGCATGTGCCACCACACCTGGCTAATTTTTATTTTATTTTTATTTTTATTTTTTTATTTTTTGAGACGGAGTCTCGCTCTGTCGCCCAGGCTGGAGTACAGTGGCCGGATCTCAGCTCACTGCAAGCTCCGCCTCCCGGGTTTACGCCATTCTCCTGCCTCAGCCTCCCGAGTAGCTGGGACTACAGGCGCCCGCCACCTTGCCTGGCTAGCTTTTTTTGTATTTTTTTTAGTAGAGACGGGGTTTCACCGTGTTAGCCAGGATGGTCTCGATCTCCTGACCTCATGATCCACCCATCTCGGCCTCCCAAAGTGCTGGGATTACAGGCTTGAGCCACCGCGCCCGGCCCACACCTGGCTAATTTTTAAAATGTTTTTGTAGAGACAAGGTCTCGCTCTGTTGCCCAGGCTGATTTTGAACTCCTAGTGTCATGCCTTTCTTACTGGGTGTGGAGGGAAGACCTTGAATGAAACGCAACTAGCACAGTGCTCGTCTGCTTACTTGCTCTCAACCTCCAAGGACAGAGCTGGCCTTCCTCTCTGGGGACAAGTGCCCCTGGACAGCACCTAGGGGTGGCTGAATGCACAGATTGCTCAGCTAGTTCCCCTCCCTCCTCTTTAGCGCAGAAAAGAAGGTATTGGATCGGCCACCCCCACTCAAATTAGTTTCATCACTTACTGCCTAAGACCTCCTCTGCAGAGTGATCCCTGTTGGGCACCCACCTCCCTCCCACTCCATCTATCCTCTACCTGCCCAACTCCTGCATCTGCAAGGCCTGGAGGGTCTCTTGCTTCCTGTCCCCGTTTTCCCATCTTTCTCCTGTACCCCACCTGCCTTCTCTTTCACAATCCCCTCGCCTGCCAGGATGTGGCTCCCACGTGGGCCTGTGGTCCACAAACCTACCCAGTTCCCTTCATCCCCTCTTCTGCTTTCAGGTCCCCAGCCCAGGCTGCCTCCATCCCTCCCCCACCAAGCTGGAAGACCAGCACAATTCAGACAGGACTTGTGTCCCAGCTGCCCTGGGCCCCTCAGTTTCCTTATCTGTAATTTAAGAATGAAAATACTGTGAGCAGTGGCTCACGCCTGTAATCCCAGCACTTTGGGAGGCCAAGGTGGGAGGATCACGAGGTCAGGAGATCGAGACCATCCTGGCTAACACGTTGAAACCCTGCCTTTACTAAAAAAAAAAAAAAAAAAATTAGCCGGACGTGATGGCGGGTGCCTGTTGTCCCAGCTGCTCAGGAGGCTGAGGCAGGAGAATGGCGTGAACCCAGGAGGCAGAGGTTGCAGTGAGCTGAGATCGCGCCACTGTACTCCAGCCTGGGTGACAGACTGAGATTCCGTCTCAAAATAAATAAATAAATAAATAAATAAATAAATAAATAAATAAATAAATAAGAAAGAAAGAATAAAAATACCATTCGGGTGTGGTGGTTCATGCCTATAATTCCAGCACTTTGGGAGGCAGGAGGACTCCTTGAACCCAGGCATTCAAGACCAGCCTGGGCAATATAGTGAGGACCTATCTGTACAAAAATTTTAAAAATTACCTGGTGTGGTGGCACACACCTGTGGTCCCAGCTATTCAGGAGGCTGAGGTGGGAGCATGACTTGAGCCTGGGAGGTCAAGGCTACAGAGAGCTGTGATCATGCCACTACACTCCAGTCTGGGCGACAGGGCAAGACCCTGTCTCAAAAAAACAAAAACAAAACCTATGTTTTGGTATATTGTAAGACTAAATTAGAAAACCTATGTATCAGCCAGGTGCAGTGGTTCATACCTATAATCTCAGCACTTTGGGAGGCCAAGGTGGGTGGATCACCTGAGGTCAGGAGATCGAGACCAGCCTGACTAACATGGAGAAACCCCCTCTCTACTAAAAATACAAAAATTAGCTGGGCGTGGTAGCGGGCACCTGTAATCTCAGCTACTTGGGAGGCTGAAGCAGGGGAATCTCTTGAACCCAGGAGGCGGAGGTTGCAGTGAGCCGAGATCATGCTGTTGCACTCCAGCCTGAGTGCAATGAAAAAAAAAAAAAAGAAAAAGAAAACCTATGTATCTGGCATACAGGTCAATATACACAACAGGAAAGGATGGATAAATAAATGAACTAGACCTGGAGTCTGCTCCCCCATTACAATGTCCCTATGAGGCCCCACTTGCAGAGGCAGGCTGGCCGGGGGAGGTCAGACGAGGGTGGCTCAGAAAGAGGAAAGAGGCTGACTCAGGTGTCAGGATGAGGCCTTGGGAGGCCCAGCAGGGCTTTCTCAGACTCAGGAAGTCTAGAGCAGTAGCCCAGGGCCTGCCCTGTGCCTGGGACCCAAGGTCCTTAGCTTTCAGCGGAGGATCCACGCAGGGCCACTGCCAACCCAAAGGTACCACTCTGCAGACAGAGCCCTGGGCCAGGACACCTGACTTGGGAGGAGAGCATGTACTGGATTTCAGGAGCTAGATGCTACTCTGGCTGGACATCCTGTGACTGGCAGGAACCCGGCACCCCTAGTGACTCTGAGGATGGCAAAGGGGCCTATGTTTCTCCAGGTCAACTCCCCACTCAGCAACTTGCCCAGTGCCCATGGCCTCCAGGCCCACTCCTCTCCAGGCTTCATGTCCCCTCGCCCCTTAGCACTGACTGGCTCAGCACTGACCGTCATAAAGCAGGGTTGATGTTAGGCTTTGACCAAAGGTCAGGAGATTGAGAAGAATGACATCCCAGCTCAGCACAAGCAATGGGGACGATTAAACAGTAGCCGTCCTTGTTTGAAAACCCATCAGAGCTGTTTCCTGTGCTGCTACACCCCACTCAGGTCACAGCTTGCTGACGCCTTCTTGGGTTTCTACCCACCCCCATCCCTGTTTGAAACGCCTGTTCTTTTATTCTTATTTGTGACAATGTAGCCCTCCTCCCCTGCCTCTGCAAATCAGATATGTCTCCATTTTGGAGCCCGCTCAGGCAGCTTGCTAAACTAGGGGCAACTATCAATGCAGGCTGCAACTTTCAGCTATAGTTTATCTTTGAACAAGCTGCACCCATTCTTACATAGTATTCCCTTGTCCACCCACACAAACACCAGGGACAAAGGATGGTAGAATGATTTATTCTTCTGGAATTTTTTTCTTCTTCCTCGTGCATTTGGTCACTTTCCCATCTCATGTTTAATTTGTTAAAGCCAAACTCAGACACATTTTGGATCATGAACACCTGTCACAGGTTTATCATAAGTTGGGAACAAGTTTAGGAAAACAAAAGGGAATAAGTTTAGGAAAACAAAACACAATCGAGTCCTCCAGCATTGCGGGAGAAGCCATGTCATGCAGTGATTTGGAGCACGAATACTAAGCCAGATGGCCCGGGTTGCAATCCCGGTTTTGCCTCTTTGTAGCTGTGTGACCTTGAGCAAGTTTACTTAACCTCTCTGTGCCTCAGCTTCTCACTTGTGAATAGCAGCTAATAATAGCACTCACTTCACGAGTTTGTTGTGCATGAAATCCAATTTAATCCAAATTACATGAATTAATTTTAATTTTAATTTTTGTAGGGGGAGTGTCTTGCTGTGTTGCCCAGGCTGGTCTTAAACTCCCAACCTCAAATGATCCTCCCACCTCAGCCTCCCAAGTAGCTGGGATTACAGGTGCATGCAACCACACCCAGCTAAATGTTTTATGTTTTGTAGAGACAGGGTCTCACTATGTTGCCCAGGCTGGTCTCAAACTCCTGGGCTCAAGGAATTCTTCCATCTCAGCCTCCCGAGTAGCTGGGATTACAGACGTGAGCCACTGCACCCAGCCTTAAATGAATTAATACATGTAAGATCCAGCCAGGCGCGGTGGCTCATGCCTGTAATCCCAGCACTTTGGGAGGCCAAGGAGGGCGGATCACGAGGTCAGGAGATCGAGACCATCCTGGCTAACATGGTGAAACCCCGTCTCTACTAAAAATACAAAAAATTAGCCGGGCATGGTGGCAGGCACCTGTAGTCCCAGCTACTTGGGAGGCTGAGGCAGGAGAATGGCGTGAACCTGGGAGGTAGAGCTTGCAGTGAGCTGAGATCACACCACTGCACTCCAGCCTGGGGGACAGAGCGAGACTCTGTCTCAAAACAAAACAAAACAAAACAAAACAAACCTGTAAGATCCCAAAGCAGGGCCTAGCACACAATAAGCATGATAAGACTGCTGGCTGTTATGAGCAAGTTTATATAGGAGAAGAAGAGGAATGTTAGATAAGGTTGTTTAACTATGTACAGGTCTGGTTAG